GTCCAGAAGTGTTTTGAGCAGTGACAGTATTGTAATAAATGCATCTTTTAAAAAGCTTATATATGTTTTTTAAAGCTTTTATTTATTTATTTGACAGAGACACAGCAAGAGAGGGAACACAAGCAGGGGGAGTGTGAGAGGGAGAAGCAGGCTTCCCGCTGAGCAGGGAGCCTGATGTGGGGCTCGATCCCAGGACCCCGGGATCATGACCTGAGCTGAAGGCAGACACTTAATGACTGAGCCACCCAGGCGCCCCTAGAAAGCTTATATTCTTATTATAGTAAATGTATCTCCATATGTAAGTTCCATTATATTTGTTAAAAAAAAAATAGACTGTAGTTACAACTTTTATATAAATTTCTTAAATTAGCAACAGAATAAAACCCTATCCCAGTTCTTAATTGTTCCTTGTTTTTCTCATTTCTCATGGAGAACATCTATGAGATGCTACAGAGAGCTCCAAACAGTATCTGCTGGGCTGAGGCAAGCTTGTCCTTGTGCTGGGCTGTCCACTGAAATAGCCACTACCCACGTGTGGTTATTTAAATTTTAATTTTAATTAAATAAAATTTAAAATTCAGGTCCTCAGGTACTCAGTAGCCACATTGGACAAATAGCTACCATATTAGACACCACAGATGCAAACATTTCCATCAGCACAGAAAGTTTTATTGGTTAGTGCTGGTCTAGAATTCTTACAGCCAATATACATATTTTAATTTACTGCTTATCTCTTATATTACCTCTGGACAAGTTAGAAAGTGGTGACAAGTTCTGGGAAAGTTTTTTTAAATGTTTATTTGTTCTCTAAATGTTTCTAGCTATTCTGCATAGCTTAATTTTAAAAAGCAAATATTTATTTTGACCCATTTTTAGAGCATGATTATGTGTGTGGAATTCATATCAATTGTCATGTCCTGGTTGCTAAATTTTCTTAAAGTATGCTAAAATTGTGGCCAAAACTATGTTAATGTTGCCAAAGCTATTGGCAGAAATCTCTTTATGATGTTGCAACATTTGAAATTAACTAGTCTGGACAAAGACAAGGGAAGTTATGTTGAATTCATTCCCCTTTTTTTATTGTTATGTTAATCCCCATACATTACATCATTAGTTTTAGATGTAGTGTTCCATGATTCATTGTTTGTGCATAACACCCAGTGCTCCATGCAGAACGTGCCCTCCTCAATACCCATCACCAGGCTAACCCATCCTCCCAACCCCCCTCCCCTCTAGAACCCTCAGTTTGTTTTTTAGAGTCCATCATCTCTCATGGTTTGTCTACCCCTCCGACTTCCCCCCTTCATTCTTCCCCTCCTGCTATCTTCTTCTTTTTCTTTTTTTTCCTTAACATATATTGCATTATTTGTTTCAGAGGTACAGATCTGAGATTCAACAGTCTTGCACAATTCACAGCGCTTACCAGAGCACATACCCTCCCCAGTATCTATCACCCAGTCACCCCATCCCTCCCACCCCACCCCCCACTCCAGCAACCCTCAGTTTGTTTCCTGAGATTAAGAATTCCTCATATCAGTGAGGTCATATGATACATGTCTTTCTCTGTTTGACTTATTTCACTCAACATAATACCCTCCAGTTCCATCCACGTCGTTGCAAACCACAAGATCTCATTCCTTTTGATGGCTGCATAATATTCCATTGTACATATATACCACATCTTCTTTATCCATTCATCTGTTGATGGACATCTTGGCTCTTTGCATAGTTTGGCTATTGTGGACATTGCTGCTATAAACATCGGGGTGCACGTACCCTTTTGGATCCCTACTTTTGTGTCTTTGGGGTAAATACCCAGTAGTGCAATTGCTGGATCGTATGGTACCTCTATTTTCAACTTTTTGAGGAACCTGCGTACTGTTTTCCAGAGTGGCTGCACCAGCTTGCATTCCCACCAACAGTGGAGGAGGGTTCCCCTTTCTCCGCATCCCCGCCAACATCTGTCATTTCCTGACTTGTTGATTTTAACCATTCTGACTGCTGTGAGGTGGTATCTCACTGAGGTTTTGATTTGGATTTCCCTGATGCCGAGCGATACTGAGCACTTTTTCATGTGTCTGTTGGCCATTTGGATGTCTTTTTTGGAAAAATGTCTATTCATGTCTTCTGCCCATTTCTTGATTGGATTCTTTGTTCTTTGGGTGTTGAGTTTGATAAGTTCTTTATAGATTTTGGATACTAGCCCTTTATCTGATATGTCATTTGCAAATATCTTCTCCCATTCTGCCAGTTGTCTTTTGGTTTTGTTGACTGTTTCCTTTGCTTTGCAAAAGCTTTTTATCTTGATGAACTCCCAATAGTTCATTTTTGCCCTTGCTTCCCTTGCCTTTGGCGATGTTTCTAGGAAGAAGTTGCTGCGGCTGAGGTCGAAGAGGTTGCTGCCTGTGTTCTCCTTTAGGATTTTGATGGACTCCTGTCTCACATTGAGGTCTTTCAACCATTTGGAGTCTATTTTTGTGTGTGGTGTAAGGAAATGGTCCAGTTTCATTCTTCTGCATGTGGCTATCCAATTTTCCCAACACCATTTGTTGAAGAGACTGTCTTTGTTCCATTGGACATTCTTTCCTGCTTTGTCAAAGATTAGTTGACCATAGAGTTGAGGGTCCATTTCTGGGCTCTCTATTCTGTTCCATTGATCTATGTGTCTGTTTTTGTGCCAATACCATACTGTCTTGATGATGACAGCTTTGTAATAGAGCTGGAAGTCCGGAATTGTGATGCCGCCAGCTTTGCTTTTCTTTTTCAACATTCCTCTGGCTATTTGGGGTCTTTTCTGGTTCCATACAAATTTTAAGATTATTTGTTCCATTTCTTTGAAAAAAGTGGATGGTATTTTGATGGGGATTGCATTGAATGTGTAGATTGCTCTAGATAGCATTGACATCTTCACAATATTTGTTCTTCCAATCCATGAGCATGGAACGTTTTTCCATTGCTTTGTGTCTTCCTCAATTTCTTTCATGAGTATTTTATAGTTTTCTGAGCATAGATCCTTTACCTCTTTGGTTAGATTTATTCCTAGGTATCTTATGGTTTGGGGTGCAATTGTAAATGGGATCGACTCCTTAATTTCTCTTTCTTCTGTCTTCTTGTTGGTGTATAGGAATGCCACTGACTTCTGTGCATTGATTTTATATCCTGCCACTTTACTGAATTCCTGTATGAGTTCTAGCAGTTTTGGGGTGGAGTCTTTGGGGTTTTCCACATAAAGTATCATATCATCTACAAAGAGTGAGAGTTTGACTTCTTCTTTGCCGATTTGGGTGCCTTTTATTTCTTTTTGTTGTCTGATTGCTGTGGCTAGGACTTCTAATACTATGTTGAATAGCAGTGGTGATAGTGGACATCCCTGCCGCGTTCCTGACGTTAGGGGGAAAGCTCTCAGTTTTTCCCCATTGAGAATGATATTTGCTGTAGGTTTTTCATAGATAGCTTTTATGATATTGAGGTATGTACCCTCTATGCCAATACTCTGAAGAGTTTTGATCAAGAAAGAATTCTGTACTTTGTCAAAAGCTTTTTCTGCATCTATTGAGAGGATCATATGATTCTTGTTCTTTCTTTTGTTAATGTATTGTATCACGTTGATTGATTTGCGGATGTTGAACCAACTTTGCAGCCCAGGGATAAATCCCACTTGGTCATGGTGAATAATCCTTTTAATGTACTGTTGGATCCTATTGGCTAGTATTTTGGTGAGAATTTTTGCATCCATGTTCATCAGGGATATTGGTTTGTATGTTGAATTCATTCTTTTTTTTTTTTTTTTGAAAAATAAAAATGTTTTTTATTTTTTATTTTTTATTTCTTTTTTTTATTGTTGAATTCATTCTTAATATCCATTTTATTTGCAAAGACTGCAAATTACTTGCCTACCTTCATTAATCCAACATCCAGAATGAAGTCCAGGCACTAACAAGGAGTGGGTCAGCTCTAAAAACTGATCTGGCATCTGGCTTCTGGTCCATCTGCAAGCGCCCTGCTCTACCCTCAGCAGTTAGAGAGCAGTGACCAATCCTCTATGGCTTTCGTAGGCCCCGTGGTACTTCGTATGATGTCCTCCCAGTACATCATCTATAAGTCTTACTGGACAAATAAATGAATATTTGATCTGGTCTGCCCTGAAAATCATTACATTTGACAGCCGGCTCATAGGATTCATGAAGTGGGACTGCTTTGAGTTCTTTTATTGTGGAATGATATCTACTGAACTAACTTAGTAGGATTGGAATTCTTGGGTGATTACCAGTCATTTTGGTGAATCTGTGCTGAATGAAATTAGGGACCAGTGAGCCACAGGCTTTCACAGAGGAGGGCTAAAATGCAGCTTATTCTGTTTGCCATTGCAGGAACGGTAACTCCAGTATTAAAATAAAGCTGAAATAGGAAAGCTACAAAATACCATAATAAAATTAGAGAGGGTCCGGAAAATAAATAAGCAGTCTTTCGTGTCTGTGTGTATAACTTTGTCACTGAAGCATACATAGATACATTTTCTATTTTTCTTTTACATATATTTTATACAAAGTATTTCTCAGAAGACTGGTATTTCTTCAAAAATTAAATAGGTAGATGTATATCTGCTGTTACTCAGCTGGAACAGCCGGGCAGTGATCCTTTTAAACTGTTTAGAGAGTGTCGGTCTCTGGTGAGATCCACTCTCCCTGCTTCTGGTAGGTGGTGTTCCTTGTGTAAACGCTTGAGGCAGGATCTGCACCAGGAAAATTCTGAAACTGTAACTCAGTCTAGTTTCTTTTCTTTTTAAGGAATTTTTTAAAAAATTAAATGTCTCCTTCCCAACCAAATGGATGTTAACTCTGATAAAATTCTTTGCCAGACACTAACAGCATCTGTTGTGTCCTGTGGCCTGAGGTTATAAGATACCTTAAGGATTTAGGAGGAAAGAATTCTTCTTTCCATCCTGCAGTTTCTGGTGTTGGTCATGAGAGAGTGATAATGTCTCAAATCTTCATTTGTAGATTACAATCAACAGAGACAGCGGTGAAGACGTGAGCTCCCCCAAACACGGAAAGGAGGACCCAAACAACATGCCCCATGTGGGCGGCAATACGTGGGCTGGCGGAACAGGTTGGTAGCACGGGCATCCTCCTGGGTCGAGCGTCCCGAGACTTCCCGAGCCTGCGGAAACCACACACACCCCTGAGAAGGCTCAGGGACCACTTGCCTTCTCTGCCTCCCCCGTTAGTCAGCTGTTCTGTACTTTTGCCCTGCGTCCCGGCATGACGTCAAGACATGGAAAAACTGGCATTTGGAGTCCCACAGACTCTGCCACCCTGGGACCAAAGACAGTTCTGACACTCCCAGCATTGCCACATCAGGGAAAGGGGAAAATATTAGCTGCCTGACAAGGTTGTGGTGTGGATTACATGAACTTGTGATTATAAAGTGCTGAGCACACGACCTGGTCTGAAGAATGTGTTCGTTAAAAAAGTTAAGCCCTTCTTTTAAATTGGGATCACGCCAGGAATCTATCGTAAATTCTTTCTTGGCCAGCCGACTTGGAAAAGAAATGGGCTTTGCCTTCCCCATCTGAGTATGTTGAGGATGCAGGGTTTTGAGATAAGAGAGTGGGCTGCAGTTTGAACTGATGGCTCTGGTCCATTCCTTCCTCTTGGCTGCCTGACAGGAGCATTGTTCCCATGACTGCTGTCTTCCTCTTTCCTGCGGCCGCTGGGGCACACACATCTGCTGGGCTGCAGGAATAGGGCCAGACTGTGTGGGCACTGTCTGATCGTATCTCGGCCATGAGCCGCTCTGGTACGAGCTCCGTGCTTCACCTTCCCCGAGGACGCTGTGTGCCTCTTGGCCTTGACAGCCTCGGGAGGAAATGGGTTTCTGTGCTGAGACAATTGCTATCAAATAGGCCTGGAGACTTCTTGCCTATTCTGTTTATTCATCAAGCATCAGCTTTAAAGAAAGCATATTTTTAGAAATGTCCTTTGATCTTGAAATTAGTGTCAAGCCAGCAAGATTTAATCCATATGGAATGCATTGTGGAACGAGTTGGCCAGATGTAGGTTTTTCCCAGCGGTGGACTACTCTGGAGCGGAGATTCTCGCTTTTTATTCCATTTGAATCTCCTAGCTCACCTCTGTCCAGACTGAAGACGATGTTTTTGTTTCCCTCGGCCTTTATTTTTCTATCGAATCTTTTTTACTTCAAATTCTTTTTATGTCTGTCATTCTCCCTCAGAATTTTCTATGTGGAACTTAGTCTGACCCAAGTCACTTGATCCCTCTTTCATCATCAGAGCACCTCCCTTGCGTGTTCTCCCATATTTTCGGAGCTGATTTAGGGTGTCCAGGATTAGCTTCAAGATTATGCCCTGAAGTCTAGAACCTCTGACCAGCATTTTCATTTAAGTAGTACAAATTAAGATTTTTTTTTTATTTATTCATTGAGACAGAGAGAGAGAGGGAGGGAGAGAGAGAGAGAGAGAGCACGAGCAGGGGGAGAGGGAGAGGGAGAAGCAGGCTCCCAGCTGAGTCAGCAGCCGGATGTGGGGCTCGATCCCAGGACTCTGGGATCATGACCTGAGCCAAAGGCAGATGCTTAACCATCTGAGCCACCCAGGCGCCCTAAGTAGTACAAATTAAAGGCTCTCAGAAGCAGAGGTCATGAAGAGCTCCCCGCTCATGCCCTCTTCACCCTGGTGCAACCTTCCCGAGGGTTCCTGTGACTCATGCTGAGCCTCGCTCATACCAGCCTCTGAACAGTTGTGGGTACTTTCCTCTTCACCAAGACTGATGTTACCTCAGCACCCAGGAAGTGTTCCACTCGAATCTGTGACCCACCCATGCCTAAGAAGAACTTCCTATAGGAAGGGAATCGGGTCACAGAAACAGCTTTTCTGCCTCTGGAGCTCATTGTCATTGTCCAGTTCCTGGTCCTCTTTGCCTCCAGGCTGTCCCTGAGTGAGAGCCAGGAATCACACACGTCTAAGAAGGAGTTTTCCACCCCCAATTTCTAAATAAGAGTGAAATCAGATGTGCTCAAATCGAAGGGTAAACATACGATCATTAATAGGTTGTTCTCGTGGTATTTCCCAAAAGGAAGTGACCTGCCTGGACCCTGGTAAGGGAAGCAGTGCATACTGAGTTTTACTTTTAGTTTATTACACCAATTAAGGCTCCAAGGGAGAAAAGATAAATGTAACATCATTTAACCAAAACCTAAAAGCTTTCAAAATTTCCACTTTGTGCAACTTAGAAATGACCTCATTCTCATTCTGTGACCGGAAGTTGTCTAAATAATCATGGTAGTTCTTATTTTGCACCAGGTACTGTTCTAAGCATCGTAGCCTCATGACAGTGCCAAGAAGTAAATCATATTAGTATCTCCATTTTACAGCTGAGGAGACTGAGACACACAGAAGTTCAGGAACTTCCTTCAAGGACACCCACATAGTGTATGGGGGCAGGATGCAAACTCACGCGGTCCAGTTTAACTGTACGATGCTCTGCTATATAACACTAGTATACGATAGGATACGATACGATACTTTCTCTCCGATGTTGAGTTCTCTTCTAAGTGCCCAAGTTATGTGTGCACGAATGAAAGAAACTGATTGCTAGTATTTTAATCATTATAAAGAAGAGGTAATAAACTGGTAGCCCAGGGGCCAAATCTAGCCAATATATGTATTTTGGGGGTCAACACAGTATTTTAAAATAATTTGAATGTATTGAGATAAGGCAAGCTTTCTCTAGCTAGCCAAGGTCCTCACCTGCTCTTCCAGGCATTTAATTTATATTTACAACATAAACAGTGTACACTTATAAGCATGCAGACTTGGGTTTATATTGGAAAAACTGTTCTGAAACGGACAGTACCCAAAGCTGACTGTATCCTCTATCCTCCCTGTCTTTCTCTTATTTTAGGGAAAAATAAGGTAACATGTGAGGGACGAGGAGTGTTGCTCATTTAATTAACAAATATGTACCAAGTTATCCATGGAGTTCAAGCCACTCTTATAGGTACAAAGGTATAAAAGTATATAAGATATAATCCCACCCATCATATGGTTGGTGAGAAAAGAAAAAAATAAATATTAAAGGGTAGTAAATAGTGGCCAGGAGTGATCCCTATGAGGTAGAGTTACCAGATGAGGTGTCCTGGGATTTGGACTGACCCTTGGAATATGGGTAAACTTTGGCGGATGGAGAAGAGAAAAGGCATCTAAACAGGGGGGTACCCTTTGTTTCCAGAAGAAGGTCATTTGAATATTTAATTACTAATTAGGTACAGTTAACATGCTTCACGGGATGGCTTTCAAGCCATGATCTGACTTTTGTCTTGTGGCCTGGATCAGACTTACCACCTGGAGTTTCACGGTTTCCTTCCAGGAGGAAGAGACACCGCAGGTCTGGGTGGCAAAGGAGGTCCATACCGGCTGGACGCAGGCCATACCGTGTACCAGGTGTCGGAGGCTGAGAAGGACGCGGTTCCCGAGGAGGTGAAGAGAGCTGCCAGAGAGATGGGCCAGAAGGCCTTTCAGCAACGGTGAGTGGGTCACCCCTCACCTGGCACAGCACAAACTGAGACCCATAGCGCCTACCTCCCCGGCAGAGACAGCCCAGGGAACATAAGGCCTCGTTCTCTGCTTGATGTGGTCAGTTCAATGCATTGATCACACGTGGCTGAGTAGAAAAAGGAACTGAGCCCATTAGAAACGAAAACCAAAGAGACCGCTCTTAAGAGAAGTTAAAGTTCAAATCACTCCGTCCACATCCATTCCTAGGCCCCAGAGGGAATTTAGCAAACTCTAGGCAGTGTTCCCTTCCTGCCCTCAGGAATCTCGTAGATGGGTGTGGGGACAGGACCCGTAAACACGCATATGCACACTCAGACTCACACACTCACACACACTCCTTAAGTGCTGCAGTCATGGTACGGAAGCCATGCCTCCTGCTGGTGTAGACAAAGATAAGTCAGTGAGGTAGGGCCTGAGCTCAGCCAGGGTTTGGATCTTCCAGGAGGGGAAACCTAAATGAGCAGGATGAGCACAGTGTCTGTGGCGGAGAGAGCCCGCTTGCCCATCCAGGAGAAAGGGTACCAGCTGGGTGGGTGGGGAGGGAGGTTGAATGTGGAGTCCCTGCCAGTGCGTGGAGGCCTTGAAATCCAGGCCAGCGAGCCTGTGGCTTTTAGATGATCCGGAACCCATGTGGGCCACTTTGATTGGAACCATCTAAAAAATGAGAATCCACATGATGCTTTCACTAGACATCCACATGTGTTCTTTAGCTAAAAGCCAAAAATACCAAAGGACCGGCAGTACCTCCTTTAGGAGTGAGGGAATTGGTAGTGATTTGGGAGGCAGCTTTACATTGTTGTGCTCAATGGAAGGGGCTGGGTGCCGTTAGAAAAAAGCACGCTTGTGTGTGTGTGTGTGTGTGTGTGTGTGAGTTATGAAGTTCCTCCCACGTAGAACATCTGGTATTACATTACACGCTGTGCTTACACATCCTGCAAGTAAACAGCACAGAACAATAGGGACAAGAATGCAGGCCCCTCCTGCCACACCCTCAGGAAAGCCTGTGAGCAGTAGGAGCTTCATGTCCCCAGCAGGTAAATAAGGCAAAAGTGTCCCTCCTAGCCATTCTGCTGACTTCCCAGGAGCCCTGGAACAATGTATTTATCCTCACTGTGACCGAATTGGCTTGCATGGAGATAGGTGACTTGCCTCTCTTCCTCCTCTCAAAGAAGTTAGGGGACAGATAACTATGTTAGAAATGAAAGCAGTTTCACCTTCTCCAAAAAAGGTGGGAGGAATGCTATATGAAAGATCTTGTTAGGATTCAAAGACTGCTCAACCTTCCATATAAACAACGAAACATCCACTTAGGAAAAGAACCCAAACATGAGATACGCCTCATTCTCCCCTCCCCGACTACTGAGTTCCTAGGTTGCCATGCTCAGAGTGGTCTCAGTTTTTGCACAAGTGGACAAATAGCGTGCTTTGACACACATAGTTCGTGGGGAGGTGGAAAGACCTTTCAGAAGTGCTTGGGTACGAGTATGCAACCCCTTCTCTGATTTCCATAATAGGGGTAAGAGACCTGGTTCTGTTCACCACCACCGTGCAGGGGAAAGAAGTCAAGGAGCATATGTGATAATAAGGCAACTAAATTTAGTGTCTGTGGGAGAGGAAAGGGAAGAAATGGGGAAGGGAGTAAGAAAACCATACACCTCTGCTAATTACTGCAGAGAAGAATCTAGTCCAAGTAAAAGAGAAGACCATAAGGTGGTTGAAAGACAGGAAGTGAGCAAGAGTATGAAAAAAGAGGGGAAGAAATAAAAACACATGGAAATCCTAAGAAAATCAGGGCATAGCAAAACACAGCAAAGAGGGTGCTTTCTACTTTCATGTAGTAAATAACTCCTATTTGGTGAGTATCCAATTTAGTACTGCTGAAGATTCTCTTTAACTTTTTATTATGAAACTTTTTTTTTAAAGAGTTTATTTATTTATAAGAGAGAGAGAGCAAGCAGGGGGAGCAGTAGAGAGGGAGAAGCAGACTCCCCGCTGAGCAGGGAGCCCAATGCGGGGCTTGATCCCAGGACCCTGAGATCATGACGTGAGCCGGAGGCAGATGCTTAATTGAGCCACCCAGGCGCCCTATTATGAAATTTTTCAAACATAAATAAAAAGAGGGAGAAGCAGAGAGAGAACCCTATGGACCTGTTCTCCCAGCTTCAAGAAGAAAAATTTGGCTCCACTCCCAGTCTCCATCCCTACGTTGTTTTGAAACTAATCCAAGATGTCCTATCTTTTCACTGTAAATATTTCAGAGTATATCTCTGAAAGATAAAAACCCTTTAAAAAATTAAAAAACATACAATTCAACTATCGTATCTTTAAAAAGTAATAATTCTTCACTATCATCAAATAGTTTGTTTTAAAGCTATTTTGCAACTCTCAGCATATGTAGAATGAGGTCAAGTCCCTCCATTTATGCTTTATAGTGTCCTCTACCTTTTCTCCACACTTTTTATCACTCTTTCCCACTGTATTATTATTTGTATGAAGAGTTGATTGCTTCTCCACTGACTTTTAGTCCCTTGAGGGGAGGGGATTTTGTTCTCTAGTACATCCCAGCACCTATCCCAGAACCCAGTGCATGGCAAACACTCATACACACGTGTGGAATGAATAATGCACACATGAATACCAATGCTTTATTCAGAGTCTGGCTGATACTTAGTTCAGAAACTGGCTAAACCAGACTGGGTGGGGGGATGGGTGAAATGAGTGATGTGGATTAAGGAGGGCACTTGCTGTGATGAGCACCAGGTGATGTATGGAAGTGTTAAATCAATATATATTGTATACCCAGAACTAATATAACACTGTATGTTAACTAACTGGAATTAAAATAAAAACTTAAACAAAAAAAAGAAACTGGCTGAAACCAGAGTGACAGGCAGACCCATCCATCAGCCTGGAGGTCCCCCGTATTGCCTTAAAGAGCCTAATACTACTGATTGGCTCTTGTCATCATCAAAATAGCCTCTAGTTAGCATTCATTTGTATCTGAATTCCAGTTCTGTACCTCTTTCTATATATCAAGAATTGGTTGATACTTTACACCTGAAACTAATATTACACTGTATATTAATTAACTGGAATTTAAATTAAAACTTTGAAAAAAGGATTGATTCGGGAAGACTAACAGAGGTAGACAAGCATAAGACATGCAGAAAGCAGGACAGAAACATTAAACCAATAAAACATGAATGAGATTGATGGTGAGGTATTTTCCATGCCTAAAAGGGTGTTCGAGGGGCGCCTCGGTGGCTCAGTCGGTTAATCTGATGCCTTTAGCTCAGGTCATGATCCCAGGGTTCTGGGATTGAGCCCCGCATTGGGCTCCTTGCTCAGTGGGGAGCTGCTTCTCCCCTGCCTGCCATTCCCCCTGCTTGTGCTTGCTCTCTCGCTCGCTCGCTCTTGCTCTCTCTGTGTCAAATAAATAAAATCTTTAAAAATAAATAAATAAATAAAAGGGCGTTCGAGGCAGGCGTCAGCTAATGGAAGGTATACCTACTAGCATTTGTAAAACGAATCAGTCTTACACAGTAGATCTCAGCTTAGGTTTGTTTTCCTCATAACTGGTCCAAAATTATAATATTTAAGTCTGACCTATAAGAAAAGTAAAATGAGAACCCAAATTCCCAGACTCTTACATAACAATAAATACACCCTTTAAAAGTATACTGTGCCAACAAAATGCAGTTAGTCCACATAGATTACTAGGATGTGAAGCAGCTGTGCCCTGCAGTTTTGATCAGGGTTAAAGCAGCAAAAAGACATATTTCCAGCTAGTCTTGTGGGCTTTGAGAGTATTAGCACCAGGAAGCTTATCTGATCCAAAGGCTAAAATTTCCTATTTTCTTTCCCCATTCCCTGCGTCAGTCTTCATCTTTCAGAATTTATCAGCTTTGAACACCTTGTAGGTGATCTTTCTGAAAGCTGACACAACCTGGAATATGATTTCCAGATTTCTTCATAATTAAAACAGCATGTGGTGTGTTTTTGGGTGCAACACGATCGTGCCAGAAGTAGCCTTATAAATGGAGCTGATTCTGATCTCACTACAAAGACCAGTCTGCCCAAGGTGACCTACCAACTGCCTGATTCCTTTCTTGATGCGTGTGTGTGCCCATGCGTGTATGTATTTTTCCTCCTGCTAAGGACAAGCTGTATCCACATTTTTTTTTCTAACCTCCCTTTGGAAAAGTACTAATCCCCCTTCTTTGGAAAAGAGCATATTAGCTTCCTGTGTATGAAGGGAGGAAGTAGCATATCCTGCAATATTCATGGTGCTCAGCTTCTGTCAGCCTTGATACTTGAGACATAACTTAATCTAATGAAAATTTATAGAGAGGTTTAGGAGATTGCCAAAACCAAACATACGAGGTATTGTTGGGAGGTCAAGTCCTGTGCACGTATTCCTAGCTGTTCTTCAGAACAGAGAGTAAATCAGATTTAGAAGGGCCCCTTGGCATGTCACCCTGGGAAACACCATTCAGCTATTATTTACCTTTTGATAGTCAGTGTTTTCAAAGTGTTATCTAACAGTGTTTATTGAGTGCTACCATGTGCCAGGCATTGTGGTAGGTACTGGAGATTCAAAGAAAAAATAAGACTATTTCTTCTCCCAGAGGAATAGAAGAGAAAATATCCATGTAGTAAATCATATGTAGTAAATGTATGTTTCATTGAATTTTTGGTTTAATTTATACAAACACACGTGCATATGTGTTTTGTGTACTGGATCTCAGTGTAAAGCATATCGCCTTGTGTGGAAAATAAAGTTTGAAAAGCACTGTGATAGAGGGAAATAGACATTTCTAGCGAAAGCCATAATGTGCAGAGGTTTCATAGTAGATATCTACAGAAGATTCATGAATGGGAATGATCAGTTTTACTGGAGGGATCAAGCAAGACTTCAAGCGGAATCTTGACAGCTGAGTTGGTATTAGCCAACCCCTGCAGGTGGCAGGGCAGGAATTGCAGATCTGCCCCTGGCAGTGTGGGCCTAACGTTATGTGATTCTGACAAGCCTCCAACATTCTGCCCTGTGTTGGCTGGATTCTCCCCGGCGCTTGGCCTGACATGGAGGAATAGAGACCATTCACTGTCATTCAGCATTTGGGGTTTCTGTTCCCAAGAAGATAAATCTGTATTTGAGATAAGAGTTTCAGCTATGGATCTGGGATCCATACCTCCCAATACTGCACACACCCATACATGCATGCGTGTGCGCGCACAGCAATTTAGAAGACTGTGCTATTATTGCTAAGCTCTGCTGATGTACATTCATTAGTGCCTATCTGAGGATGAGCGCCTTTACATTTATCGAAACTTACAGAAACACTTGATCAAGTTAGTATATTATGGATACAACCCTGTAAAACCCAAGAGAGCCTCACTCAGTGAATGAACCTTCTCCTTATGACTGGTTTAAGATGCTGCATTTTAAATAATCCTGAGTCTTATTTTTATTTCAGTCATTCATTTCATTCCATTTTGAGCATCTATTAAGTGCCGGGTACCATGCTGGGCACTGTACACATAACAATGAGACTCAATCCTTCTCATAAAGGAGCCTAGTTGGGGAGACAGGCAGCCGATGGGCATAGCAGGGGGAGGAAATGCTCTGATAGTGAGAAGCACAACGTGCTCTGAGAGCAAAGAAGACAGACCTGGGATCAGTGTAGGCTTCCTCGAGGTGGTCCTCATTGATTTGACTCTTGAAGAGAAAGTGGGAGTTACAGGCAAAGAGGCAGAGAAAGGAAGTTCCTGGAGGGGGAGCAGCCCAGGCAGGAGCTCCGAGAGGTGGGGTTGTGCCGTGTTCAGGGGTCTCTAAGTACCCTGGTGGGGCTGCAGTGGAAGCTAATGAGGAAGAACGATCGAAAGGAGCACTGCACTAGCAGGAAAGGACTTCGAAGCCACAATCATATGAAAACACAATCATCCTATTAAAAGCACACAGCAACTTCAGAAAACTCTTGTATCCTACAAAGCAACACATTAAATTACATTCTTTGGGCCTGAGCTGTTAATCTTAGTCAACCAAATACCTGCCCTTGGTCTCTGAAAGCAGCCCACAGAACTCTTCTAGGAACCTGCCCCATGAACTGACCAGCTGCCAACATCATGACAGGTCTTTGGGATATGGCAGCAGTTTGCTCTAGAGCTGACTCACGGGTTCATGAGGGCCAACTGTGCACCTTTCTTTCCAAGTCAGTGCTCGGTGATCTTACTGTTAGTAGCTTGGAATTGATCACGAGGGGACTATTTACACTGTAGAAATCAGCAAATACTATACATCAGGGCTTTTTGTTTGATTGGTTCAGTTTGTTTTGTTTGTTCTAGAAGGCTCCTTGTTCACCATGTACCAGCCCACCGCTGGACATCTTCTTCCTTTGAAACTCCTAGCTGGAGACATTACTTCTTGCCTTTTCTCCTCCCAGGCAACCTCAGTTACCAAGGACCTTGCTAGAGTTCTAGCAGCAGATGAATGGAAGTAAAAGACCACATGTACAGGATTTCAGCTATTATCTTTTCTACCCCTTCTGGCTTCAGGTTAAAAGAGATCCAAATGAGTGAGTATGATGCCGCCACGTATGAAAGGTTCTCAGGTGCTGTTCGACGGCAGGTGCACTCACTCCGAGTCATCCTGGATAATTTACAGGTAATCCTCCAACAGTGGACTAAGAAAATAATCTGGGCCCAAAGTTGGACCCATCCCAGAACTATTAGAGAAAGTTATCCAAACCCTATTAAGCCAGTCAGAAAATATTAATGCCAAAATGTTTGAGTAAGACTGTGGATCACTCCATGGCCTTCTCAGGTGAATTCCCCAAGGAAGAATATTTGACCCCACCTATCCTGTCCAGGAAGCAATAATTTGACCAGTAACCCTAGAAGACACTAGATTTCCTGATTTCCCTCATATAAGATCTATGAGCATCCCACCTTAACTAGAAATTCACAGATAGAATTCTCTTCCTACAAATCATTTTACTGTCATGGACTATAGAGACAGAAGAGCATTTTGGGTCATCCAAACTGTGCATTCTCTGGGTCTCCTGGCGTCTCCTCCTATGTACCCCCTGCCCCTGCTTTGCCTGCCATTTTTCAGTTTTAGACCGTGGTTGTCTCAGAAGCAGTTAATACTTCTCTTGCCCCTTAAAATGTGGATTAAGATGCTTCGGTATTTCCCAAACAAAGATCTGCTATTTGGAGAATTTGCTTAAAAAAAAAAAAAATCCATAGGCAAATTGTGTGAACAAAGTAACATGGAATGATTGGATTTTTTTCCAGTAAAGACACTCACTTTACTTTTTTCCAGTAAAGACACTCACTTTACCAGTGCTTATCACCCTGGGCATTGAGGACAACTTCTGGGTGATCTCCAGGGCAAGGCAAAAGGTGAAAAAGAGCCAAAGTGGTTCACAGGAGATGAGGGTGATGAGAGGCAGTGCTCATGCAAAGACTGAAGAATGAGTGCTTTAGTCAGTCATTCATTTCTTAAGTTCTTGATGCACTCCAGACATTAGGGATAGAAAAATAAAATGCAGCCCCTGCCCTCAAAGAAGGAACTCAAAGACAAATAGGCAGATGACTTCTTAGATTCTATAGAGAAGTATGTGCACAATGCTATGGAATGAATGAAGAAGGGCTTCGTGGAGAATGTAATGCTTGAGTTCACACTTGAAAGATGCTGAGGACTTTCCAGATGGTTGAGGAGTCAGGGCGTTCCAGACATAGGACACAAGATGTACAAGTGCAGGTTGTTCAGTGGGACTGAGAAGAGCCTGTGTGTGGTAGGGGATGGTGGCAAAGGAGAAGACCATCAAAACCACAGAGACCTTGGGGTGCCTGGGTGGCTCAGTCAGTTGAGCGTCCGGCTCTTGATTTCGGCTCAGGTCATGATCTCAGGGTCTTGAGATCCAGTCCCATACCGGGCTCCACACTCAATGGGGCATCTGCTTGAGATTCTCCCTCTCTCTTCTCTCTCTCTCTCAAATAAATAATAAATAAATCTTTTTAAAAAAAATCACAGAGACCAGATCACAATCTGGCCCTGGTTTCCATGATTACATGCAGACAACATTGAGTGTTACCCTGTGTACAAATAGGCCATTAGATTATTGGCAATACCAGAGAGGAATGTGAGAACACATTTTTAATTGAAGGAATGAGAATCCTCATCTGGTATTAGTTCATGCCTTGATTGGTGTTCATTGGGCACCAGGCTTTAGTTACTTTTATAAACATCACCACATTTAATCCTCACATCAGCCCTTTAAGATAAATGATACTGTGTTCACCAGATCAGCCAAAGGAAGAAAAGGTAGACCTACTACTGTGACTTCTTCAAGTAGGACACCCATTAAGCCTGGGTTAGAGTTAAGGTTACCATTAAGGAATGACTTCTGCTAAAGCCCACAGTGATGAGACCAGTACCAGAAACAGTGTCCAGTTTTGCTTTCCATCCTCAAAGAGAGATGTGAAAGAAAACTGTGAAGGGCTCAAAGAAAAGAAACAAACACGATGGAAAACAAGAAATTGGCACCTATATAAAAACCATAAGGGGATCGGGGTTAATAACTTTCTAGATATCCTCAAATAGAGTAACTAATTATTTCAAGGACGTTTTCTCTTCCTCCCTGGAAATCTGAAAAAGAGAAACTAGGCTTAAATAATAGCAAGAAAGAGTTTTAAGATATAAGAAAGGGAATAAAAATGATGTAATCCTTGGAGGAGAACCTAAAACGGATATAGAGCTTCCATCTCTCCAAATATGCAAGCATTTTAATAATAGCAAGCATTTACTGAGCAATTGCCATGTGCCAGACATTCTACTAGATGCCTTACGTTATCAGCACCATTATCATGATCTCTTCCATCATCATCATTGTCATCAGCATCGTTTAGTGACTAATAGCACCAGCTCTGGAGCCAGACAGCCCGGGGTTCTGTAAAATGCAATGACAGATAATAGGGCAGTTATGCAGATTGACTCAGATGATACATGCAAACCGTTTAAACAATGCCTAGCACGTAGCATTCTCTGCGGAAGAATTTTTTTTTTTAATATTTTATTTATTTGACAGAGAGAGACACAGCGAGAGAGGGAACACAAGCAGGGGGAGTGGGAGACGGAGAAGCAGGCCCCCTGCCAAGCAGGGAGCCCGATGTGCGGCTCGATCCCAAGACCCTGGGATCATGACCTGAGCCAAAGGCAGACTCTCAATGACTGAGCCACCCAGGCGCCCCTGCGGAAGAATTTGTTTCATCATTACTTCCCTAGTTTTTGCTAATATTCGTCAGCCTGGACTGCAAGCCAGACACCCAGTCACATACTTTACATTCATTCATTGTGCTGGTGAATCCCTTATGATAACCAGTAAGAACTATTTTCTACATTTGATAGATAAGGAAGCCGAGGCATGTAACCCATCCTCACAGTCTTCTGAAATGTAGCTATTTTGTTCCCGCTTTGTACTGAGGGAACTGAAGAGTAGAAAGATGATGTGACTTGGCCTGGGTCATGTGGCTAGTGAAGTGGGCATCTGAGCCTGAAGCTCGGGTCCCTGTTATCTATTAGGCGTCTGTTATCCGCTGCCAGCTCTACAATTCTATAAGAAGAATCATTCTCACATATACTCGTAAAGCATTTTGCATCATTATCCAGATGCCAACATAGCATTTTCAAGTGTTTCCCTCAAATCCGCAGAAGTGTTATTCTCAGGTGGGCCTTCTAGTCCTCCACGTAGACAGATAGTGCTAGTTAAAAACAGCTACTGGCCAAGGATAGACAGGGCCTCCAGTGGAATATGAGTCTTTAGATTGTAACCAAAACAAGAAGGCTTTGTTTGGTCCCCCTTTCGCCACCGTCTGCCAGTCCTGCGTGGCTCTGATTGACTAATAGCTCCCAGCTGTGTTGAGGTTGCTGTGTAATCCCAGTAACCATGGGTGTTTCCTTGGTGAACAGCAGAACGTCTGGCCAGGAACTAGCAAATCATCATTTGAGATGACTTCTCAAAGTACAGCTTCAAACCCACGCACTGACTCCAGGCGGTAGGGCTGAGATGTGAAGAAAGGGAATGTTGTTGTCACTCCTGTTAATATCTGCTTCGACACATGCGTCCGTTGCAACTCCTGGCCTTCCCAGTTAAGATAACCATCACCAGTGACCTCCCTTTGCTTCTTGACTGGATTCTATATGGGATATCGTAGGGTCCTGGTTATTGGACCTTTTATGAATCAATAGCAAAAATTTTCTTATTAGAATAGAGTGTCATAACTTCAATTATACTTGGTTCAGAATCTGAATGATTCCTCCATTCCCTGACAAAAGAAAATATCCGTTCCACAAAAAGCCACTGATTGTAATCATATCTTCTCTCCAGCATTTTGCTGATCTACAATCAGTAATTTCATTCTCAGGCTAAACTAAATTAGCCTTTCTCTGATTGCTTTGGCTAGCATGATATCTCCATGAACCAATAATTATGTTCTTTTTTTTTTCCCTTGAGTAATTTGCAATGAGCTTAGGCTGAGATAAACAGTGTTTTTGAACATTGATGTGTGACGTGCTTGGGCACTGAGGGCACAGAGATTCATGGGATACTGTCCCTGTCCTCAAGAAGGCTATACATTTGAGGAGTGGGAAAGACGGGCACCCAAACAGATCATTTCAGTTGAGTATGGTAGGTGTCTAGGAAGACAGATGCATAGAATGCGGTGGAAGCCAGAGGAAAGGGATTCTAGGATAGATTTTTCAGGAAAGGATATACATGAGCTGGCTCTTGAAGGATACACGAGTATTCACCAGTTAAAGGAAAGTGAAACCAATGCCCCAGCAGAGAACATGGCATAGACAAAGGCATGACACTGTGCGGTCTCAGGGGTGAGCTGAGGGCTGATCTCCAGTGTGAGCAGGATTCCACTCAGCGTAAAATGCACACAAGGACTTGGGGCTAAGAGGCAGATAGGTGCCCAGCAAGGAATTGAGACTTTATTCTGAGCACCCACTTTATTCATATGTAAAGAACGGAAAGCATTTCCCCATTCCTTTTATTTAATTTATAATAACTGTATTTCATCCAGTAGACATTTGTTGAGTATCTCTTTTGCCTAAGATTTCTTTCCTTCAAAGACTAACTTAGGAAAGAAGATACATGTGTAGTTGTAGTAGAAGACACAATATGGTAAATGCCACAGTGGTATTTTAAATCAAGTACCGTGTTATGTAGACAAATGTGTGAGCAGTTTCTAGGCTGTGCAGTTAGGGAAAACTCAGAGGAAGTGCCATTTGAGCTGGACCATGAAGGATGAGCATGGTTTCAATTGGTAACTCTTGCTAAGGATGGGGATGGAAGGATTGTCTTGACCAGAGCTTCTGCAGCCTGTGGAGAGAAGCCAGGTTTTTTTCATTGACCATGAGCTAATGCTTTTATAAAATAAAATAGAAATGAATTACTGAAAAAAAGATATAAAAATGAACATACAAGATACAAACCCGTATTATTTAATATTCGATTCAGAAAACAAAAAGCACTTTGTCATATTGCCATACCAGTTTTTAAATGCTTACTGTTCACTTCTGTAACTTATTTCACCCTGGACCAGTAGCAGGTGTTTACTCACCAAAGGCAGTTTGCATAGCTCTGGTCTAGACAG